CTGTTCCACGGTTAAGGGACTGTAGGGGAGAAATGGTGGCCATCCCTCTCCCAGTCCAACTGTAGAAGGCCTGGACAACCTTCTAGTATTTAAGCCTGCCTTCTAGGATGCACAAAGTACCTAGATCAAGAGTGGCAGGAGGGGAGTTTTCTCACCCCCACCATTGTGACCGAGTCAGCTGCCTGGGTAAGGTGAGGCTTCCTGTCACTCTGGATAGCTGCATCTCAGTGCTGCCTCCTTCTTTTGCCCCTCTCCCTCTTCCTGCAGTGAAGATAGCGAGTTGTGCAGCAGAGGGGAAGGAGGTCCCACTTTGCATAGTAACCTGTGTGAGTTAGTGAGCTATAGGCCTGCTATGCAGAGACCCTGTGGGACTCTTGGCCTGAGGGGGAGGAGGATTATTACACTACTGAAGTCCTGCCCTGCAAGGTACCTTCCAGCAAATACTCCTTAGTTGGCAGTGATTGTCTGGCTGTCGCTATAAGTCATCCTTAACTAATGTATGAAAGACCTAATTGGCATAAGAAAGGTAGTTTAGAGGTTTTAACTGCATGCAGTACGAAAAGGTAGATGGTGAGATGCAGAGAGATTCTATGATAAATACAGGCAATAAATGTAAAATTTTATGAAGGCAGAAGAGGAAGGAAAAAAACATGTATTCACATTCATCATTTCTTCTCATATTTTCCCACCAAGTAGAAGTTGTATAATCCAATACATTCTACCTTAAAAACTCTTTTGAATTTTGTATTCTGTTCCATAATATATTCTTGATTATTTTACTAAAAAGTATTATGATTCATTATTGAATAAAATCAATGTTCTTAAAGAATGCACCATGTTTATCGTGTGTCTTGATGTCTTCCCTGGCACAACTACCTCATGCTCCAGTCCAAGGTCTAGTCTGAGAAGCACAAGCACATTTATCCTCACAGCAAGCTCATGAAAAAGATAGTATCATTTTACAGATGAGAAAAGGAAGGTTCAAAGAGGGAAAGTCTCATGGGTACTACACGTGATTGTTAAATTTCTCCCCAAACCCTCTCCTTATATGGATTTTGTGGTTCTGTAAAACATAGAAAAACTAGCAGTATAGAGTGCTGATCTAAAAGTTAAGAAAGGTTTTTGGTTCTGTTCCTAGCAAAGTTATTGACTTGCAGGAAAATCTTTTGAAGGTCCCTTATAGAAATGTTGTCTTTCATTTCCTCATATGCATGTTGAATTTAATTTCATCCTTAATGTTGGGAAAAGGTACATAATTTAAAAAATCAGACACTTGGCATCATTGAAGATTAGTTCTAAATAAAAGCAATTGTTAATGGAATAATACCCTTGAGAACTCTCCTCAAGTCTAGTGCACTCTTCTGTGTATCCATACACCCTTGACTTTTAAACACAAAATTGTTGTCACCAATTATTGGCTTCCTTACTACATTGAAAGTAAGCTATTTTAGTCTGCTGCTTGATTCAAGCCCCCCATGCCTACCAGTTCCTTAAATGGATAACTTGTCCATTGGTATAATAGTAGCCAAGAGCTCAAATTTTAATGTCAGCAAAATCTGGTTTTAAATCCTGACTCCAGATTATTAGTGTGACATTAGATAAACTACTTCAGCTCTCTGTGCCTCAGTTTCCTTATTTTAAAAGGGGGGTAATAATGCCTATTTCATGGGTTTTTATAAATCTCCTGAATTGTCTATGATGATAACATTGGAATGTTGTCATATGGTAATGCCTAAAAAATTGGGTGTTGATGTTTTACCTTGTAAATTCCCTTTAAATGAATATATTCTTTTGTAAGTATTCTAAGTCTATAGATTCATATACATTAAGTGAAATTTACTTGAAAATACTAATTCCACAATTTACATGACCCATTTTTTGACGCTTGATATTGTAAATAACAGACTCTCTGTCGTACACTTTAGATTGATTTTGATGGGGGAAGGATATTGTATGATATGTGGCATTCAACTAATCTATTTGGTTAATTTGGTAGTATAAAAGGATTTGTAGATAATGAATTTTCATACTCTGGAAGATAATTTTATAGATCCTACACTGCTTCCAGATTTATACTGGTGCCTCATTTTAAAGTAGGACTTTCACCTGACAGTGTATGTTAATATTCGGAAAATTCTCTATCAGTAGCCTAGCACCATCTTGACAGCCCTATGTTCTGCTTCTACCTTGCTAATTGTTTCCTTGGGATTATTTGGATTGTGTAGAAAGCTTTTTGCAAATCCCCTTATTACTGAAGTCATTGTTGCCAGCAG